AAACGGAGACGTAACAATATACTTAATAAATGTATTTGTTTTGAAATTCATTTTAACCCTGAAAGAGTTGCTAGGAAAAGAAATACTGTAATTAAAACAAATAAAAACATCGTAACAAATGCAACTTATGAAATTAAAATATGAATATGTCAGTCAGCCCGAGCATGTACGCGTGATAGCTCACATGGAAACGCAATATTCCTATTGGCTAATTTTACAGAGGATCTTACTCGTTTACACGAGTGGAAAAGTGAACGACGTTTAACGAGCATTGCTCTATACGAGTACAAAATTACGACTTTAACATTTAACTTCAAAATACAATTACTTCAGTAACAAAAACAAGCAAGGAAACATATTAAGTTAATTCTTTACCTTTCCATGGCTTATACATGATGCTATAATATTACACCTCACTACAAATTCGAAAACGCACCTAAAAATCGACAATTGGACCTACATACGGGTTTGCCTGATATATAATATACAGTAAATAGCCTTAACAGTCACTGCCACAACTTCATTCCTTTTCGATGCTCTACAGCTAATACATAGTGTGAAAGAAAATTACAATTCAGATGATATACAAATGCGACACAGACACATATACAAACAAGACATTTACAAAGAAACACATGACAACTGTTGATTTTTACACTTCTTGATACGATAATTTTAAATATTCATTGTTTTGTAACTGTATGTTGCAAACTATTTCAGTAAAAGCGCCTAGAAATTGACAGTTAAGCTTAAAGTTTTAATATTTTGTATAGAAAGAACGAGTTCATGTGCTAGGTGTGTGTGTGTGCGCGTTTTGTTATAGAATGCCACATCGAGTATCTGCTGTGTCCACCGACGGGAATCGAACCCGAGATTTTAGCGTTGTAAATCCGAAGACTTGCTGTCCCACCTGCGGACCCGCTAGGGGAATAATATATTACACTACTTCCGTTACTGATGGTTGTGGACCCTACCTTTTGTTAATCCTTTAGGGGAGAGTATAAAAAAAAAAAAAGAGTTCATACCATTATGGAAGGATAAAGAAAAATAAGTGAAATAGAGAAAAACGAAGACAACCGATTTTTACTATTTAATTTTAATTTTATTAAAAATTCACAATTTTATAACGTCGCTTTTTCAATAGTTCGACCAAGAAAAACTCTCAGGACCTTAGTAAAAGATGGCAATTATTCTCAAAAACAAAGTGTTAATACAAAAAATGTGTTCAGCTATATTTCATTTATGGTTAATCCATATCTTTTACACTTCTTTCCTTTAAATCGAAATACGACTTCATATTCTACTTTTTAGGTTTTTTTTTTGCTTCATTCTTGTCCAATATATAATATTCCACTTAATAATGCAGCGTGGGGCGCGTGTATACTCTATTCAATTTTATTACTCGTCAGGACCTTTACCTGCCTACCCTCAAGTTGAAATTCTTTTAGGCAGGATTAGAGTAAATTAATCTATAAGACATTGGGCGTGGTCAAATACATGAATCAAAAAGGTTCTGACCTCCTGAATCCAAAACTATAATTAGATCTCAAATCGGTCAAGCTATGACAGAGCTACGAGCTAAATGTTTGTACTTGAAAAACTCAGCCATTATATGTGCCGCTATGCCGCGGCTAAAAATTATTACGCTTTGACTCATACGGCACAACACACGCTTGGTATGCGGGAAGTCGAGGATTTGATCCCTTTTTCTTTTCAATTTTTTCCCTAAACAATGTTTGAATTATCAAATAATTTTATACATACATGGTGCGCGAAGCACGAATTTATCCCCAAGTAAAAATTAAAATCCAAAACAGTCCGCAAAATCTGAGAATGGCATTAAAAATAACTTTTCTGATTGTAAGTCCCAACCTAAGAGAGTACATTTGAACTAGTACAGACGTGAAAAGCGCTAAAAATAAAAATATGTGTAAAGAGTATTCCGAAACATTACCTGACAGTTAGGGTTCGAGATTATTTTAGAATATGTATTGTTTTCATTTTTACACTATTACTATTTTCTAAATTCTTAAATCAAATGTTAAAGCTTTATGACGTTGAATATCAGTATCAATTAAAGTGCAAAGATATAAATATTTACTTTTAAACTATAAATAGTGTAATTTCTCATGTAATGAACAGTAGAAAAATGTACTTAACTTTGGAGTTAAATCTATATAAATATAATAGTACTATCTGTTGTATTTCGCAGGGTGTTGATGGATCTTCACTAAAATTGATATAGAGGTTCATTAGGGCCATGCGAAGGGATATACAAATTTTCCGTTTTTCGGTTTTTTATGGGCGTTCTTGCGTTTTTTTACCACTACCCCACCTCCTATGAATGGACCTACACCAAATTTGGCATAAAGGTTTGTTGGGTCCATGGGGATATACATGCAAATTGACGGTTTAACATTTTATGTTTTACATTTTTTACAATTACTTATGTTACTTATTAGAATTTCAAATAGTCTTAAACTGAGTTAACTGATGATTTAGTAGTTAAATTATACTTTGTATTTAGTAGTTAAATTGTATTTTGTATTTAGTATCTAAATATATGCCGATATAACGTCAGTTTATGATATTTGGCAACGAGATTGATACACACACAGTTTTCTTTTATAATACAAATATGTTTTAATATACACACAACAATACAATTTACAATAACAATTATTACAAATAGTTACTAGAAACAATGATTTATAAATAAAAGTTTCACAAACTTAGAAACAATATAAAGTATTGTTACGACAGCGGAAGTCACGTGACGATAGTAACACGTCATGAGCTTCTAGAAAATTCCTGTCCCTTCGTGAAGCCTCGAGTGTTTACTAGATGTACGGTATTCTTGTATATAAGACTGCCAATGTAATTGAACTGCAGACAGAGATAGACTGACAATTGAGTCGAGCACGTGAGTCGTTCGTTGTGAATTATAGCGTTTGTTATAGCGTGACTGTGGAAATTAAGTGTATTGCAAAGTTGTATTCTGAAAGAATAAACTAGTTTTATTTAAGAAAGGACTTGTATCGCTAAAGTTTCTTCGGAAAGAATTTTTACGGAAAATTAGCTAACGACCAGAGACGTAACATTATTCTTTCTAGTTTGGAACTTCCTTGATATCTCATAGAGGGTTCACGATGAGCGAGTTGATTACGAGTTGATGTAGGTACGATTCGTTTAACAAAAAAGGGAACTAGTTAGCCCTGTAGTCTTTACTGTTCAAAGGCCGATTTTTCCACAGGTGACGTTAGGTAATGTTTTCGTAAAAGTACTAATGCCCGATGTGAATCCACTGAAGTTAAATGAGTTGTAATGTTCGAACTTTGTAAAGGTTCCTGGTTAAATATCTGAAGTTTTCCGATTGGTAAGCGTTATAACAATCACAGTTATAGCTTCCGAAGTTTTATAGCACACTGACTATAGCGAACTCATAATAGACACTCTCTCTCTTTGGCGCGTCGCGTTGGTTACATTTATAGCCGTTGGAAGGTTTTCTAGAAAATTCAGATTACGTAACAATACAATTTAAGTGTTTAGGTACACATATATTGTTGATTCATACTCTCGAGAATCTTCTTCAACTTTGGAGAATAGGCGGGAGTTTCGCAACATATATTTACTAGTATAAGCTAAGTATGTTTCTAAATATAAATTTAATCGAAACAAACGTAAATATTAAAATAAGTATATAATAACAAATTCGTTACACTTATAAGGGAAGCAACTTTTCATGTCCTAAGATAACCTTTCATTAATCATGAAGTTACATAACTTCCGTCCTGGGGACGGGCACTCCAGCTAGTGTGTTATATACATTTCTCAAAAATATCGTTACTTTTCCTACTAGTCCTAATCATAGTAAATATATGTGAGTATTGAAACGAAGAACTTGCGAAATACTGCTATACCCTCAAAAAACAACAACAAACAAATAAAAATGGATTCTAAAAAAAATATGGATACAATCCATTTAAAGTTGAATAATTCAAAATAGATATTTTAGAAAGTGAAAAACTACAAATACCTTGAAAGACAGTTCTAAGTTCTCTCCTCCCCATATATCAAATCCACTGTCATAAGTTCCAAGCTTTTCAAAAAAATTCTTTTCAATAGCAAACAAACCTCCCGCCATAGTTGGAGACCTGCAAAATGAATAAAGAATATTTGCATGAACAAGGTTTTATATTTAGGTAGAATATATAAAAGAATAAAGATTTAATTCTGAGTTTTGGTCACGTATATGTAATAATTGGTAAATTTTTATTAGCTTATAGCCCGTCAAAAATGACGGAGCAAGTACAACCACCCATGGTATAACCTAACCTCACATTTCATAGCTAACCGAAATATATTTCCCGAAATCAAGCTTGACCAACCAATGGCAGAAAAGTGCAGTCGAGGCAGTCAAACGTCTGTAAATTCCTTTGTGAGCCACTCAAAATTAAGATAATTCATGAAATAAATTCATGGCGTATTCATAGAATGATTATTGGAATAACAACTTCTAATACATAGAAAAGCCAGTGCGTTTTGGTAACACTAGGTTCCAACAATGGCCTTCAGGTCACGTTGCTTAGCAACAAAAGTATAACCTAAGTTAGTCTGTGTACTGAAAGTATAATATGAAATGTATAGACAACAAAAAATGGAAAAATATTTGTTGATTTCTTAATTTAGAGCCGCGGTTGATTAAAGAGGTTTTTTTTGTTATAACCGTTGGCGATATAACAGAAAAATAGCTTAATTCAGAAACGATTTAAGTTTAAAATTGAATCGATATTTTTACTTTCATGATAAATTTTTATGCACTTAGCTCTAGGCTAGGTGATCCCACACTACGTCTTTACTTTACCAACAATCACTACACTTACAAGGTTTCACGATACCACCCATCACGGCCCCCTTGCATCCACGTCACTAAAATCATAATGGGCAGACAGTAATCGAACTATTCTATCTGGATAAATGCATTTCAGCTTTTATGATTCCTCCTATTTCGAGAAATCATATGTGACGTGACACACACTGACTTTTTTATAGGTTAGATTTATAATATTTCTTTTGTACCTAACTAATATATCAATAATGCTGTAACAATAGACATTTTCAGATCACATGATTTATTGGAAGCTCAATATTGGCATCCGCCATTTGAACGTTAAATCGTGAAATGTTTTTTGACTATTATAGCCATAAAACTTCGTAAATACGCTTAGAATCTTGATAAAATTGTATATGGGTGTTTCTGTTGTTTGCGATCCACAAATGGCCTGAACGACTATTCATGGCGGTAACTTGTCTGATCACGGTATAGATTAGTTTGATATCGTCAACAACACTGCAGATACAGAAATACAGCTATGAGAAAAAAATTAACTACAGTAACCCATATTGTTTTCCTTTTTGGGTCAACTGGAAATTTGCCAGAAAGATAAACCCCGGGCTCTGATCCCTGACGTCGATCACAGTGCAGCCAAAAGCGCAGCAGTAGAAACGAAATTTCACATTTTTTCCACTGCCTAGAATATACATGCGTTACAGTCTAATACGGCAGACATTAGGAAAAATCAAGATCAAGAACAAGATCTTTTCCGCTAAAGGAACAATTAGTATAAAGTAGCAAAGATTATCAAATACCCGTCCCCAGTGACGGTAAAAGTTTAAGTTAATCTATCAATTTAAATTATTTCCTGGACTTTAAAAAGGTAATTGTGTTGCACTCTTGGTTTCACTCTGAGCTAAAGCTCGAGCTACTTATACTGTCCACCGCAAAAAATAGTAGTTGAGCATTTCAGCCATCCTAAGAGCCACTCAACAATAACATACGGTAAATCTACATTTTTATTCTTTAAGTTACGTCACATTTTGTAATGTGAATGATAGTGTGATTAATTCCTGACAATTTAATGTAGAATATCCTGTTTGCTAAATAAAATTTGGCATCAACAGTCATGCCTGTTCTGTTATTTCAAAAGTGAATGTTGAGCTTTGACTGCGTGAGCAGCTGTTCAACCGTAGCGCGGGAAGCGGCCTCCGTGAACGGGAGACAGACGAACGGTCGGGCAAACACCACGGTTCGCAATATATATATATACAAGGTCAAAAATATAGAACAACAAATTGAAGTTTCAAAGACAAAAATGTTTGTCATTTCATTATATGAAATGTTTGTCATTTCATTTGTCATTTCAAAATTGAAATGTTCAAACAAAATCCAATGAATACACGTTACCAGTTTTTTTTTTTAAAAGTATATTATGTTAGATTAACCAAATATGTGGGATTCATAAACATGAGATGTAGATTTCAACTAAAGTTTTTATATCTACCAGACAGGTTCCCATGGATGCTTGCGACGTTTCTTTTCACTATCTGGAATACCGTGCCAATTAAACTGAAGGTTCCAGTCAAACCCACCTACATTCAGACTACTAGAATCTCTAAAGTTATACTCGAATGTGTCGTCGCTGATGACGTCGATCACGGGACACACCACTGTTGTAAAATTTCGGGCAATACGATCCAACAGAGGTTCCAACCAGCCTAAATGAAGGTTTAAAAGGATCCAAAGAAGTTTTGATGCATTTAGATCATATTCATATAAAATGTCAAGCCCTTAAAATATTCGTTAGAGATTTGTTTTTAATTTACGCAGAGGATGAAAACATTTATCAGGAATCTACAGTAAATTTCTGTACGTTTATATAAAACAGACAAACTCTTAAGAACGTATTTCTATGAGTTTTTTGCATTATTATTTGTTATTCAGGTCACAGTAGTTAATTATCTTTAATCAGACGAAACAAGTGTTTATCTTAATACGCACTAGACGAAGCCACTAATACCTACTTGCCATTTCATTAGGAAGCAAACCAAACATCCAAGAAAAATACATCGTGTTATAAAAGATTTTATAAATAACATGCTAATTGAAAACACTTCTGTGGTGAAACAGGGCAATTATTAAATGACTCATCTATCTTTACCAACCAACTTTTATATCTTACAATCTGACAACTGTCGAGTTTATGAAACAGGGCAATTATTAAATGACTCATCTATCTTTACCAACCAACTTTTATATCTTACAATCTGACAACTGTCGAGTTTATGCATCTCGATCACTTCACAAACTACACTAAATGATATCAAGACAAAGAGTTAAACCGTATTAAAATATTTTATTTTTATAAAACAATTTATAAGTACAGATTCTGATTTCTTTTTGAAAGTACCATTTGAAGAAAATTCTATCCAATTCATAAAACGGGTGGAAACAACAAACGTCCTCCTTCACGTGACTTATCAACATGTATGAAACACAACTAAACCATCCTCTAACCCAGTAGTTCTGAAAGTGTGGTCTGTGGGCAACTGATGGGCCGCGAGGGTCCTCTAGGTGGTCAGCAGGCTGATCCAAAATGCAAATCACTGACGCGCAACTCCATACGAGAGAATAGAACGGGTGAGGTAGGACCGGTTGGTGGTCCGCGGTGGTCTTTTGTCCCGTCGAGGTGGTGCGGCAAACGAAAAGATTTCAGAACTACTGCTATAACCCAAATATAAAAGTTGATTACTTTTTTTACTGATTGTAATTATTACCACTACCTTGTGATTATTTGCTCGTTCCACGTAATATATCGATTTGACCATAAACCACCAAAGTACCAATTTTATTATATTAATAAACAACTCTTAGCATTTTCCGTAGCTATAGCCCTTTCATTGTAATCTTAATGCAAATTGTATAGCAGTTTAAGTGTGCATTTTTTAAGCAAGTGGGTAAACTATGGGTGGTAAACTTTCGGCACCAAACGAACTTTTTGCCTATGATTCCGTTTTCAGCTAGTCTATGTCTTTTTAAATGAAATATTTAATCGAAACTACCACAAAAATGATTACTTTCAGAAATGACACGGTGAGTCAGTCAATCGCGAGTCAAAAATAGATGTTTTCGCATTTTATGAAGCTAACACTTTATACCATGATATTTTGGGACAAAAAGGGGGGGAGGACACTAAATTTAGCTCCCATTTTTCCAAGTTTTGGAATAATTGTTTATTGTATTGGATTTTCTGACACTTGACTTTTCCAGAATCGTAGGCAACCTGAATGTATATGTAGACTACTTAGCTTCCTTCAAATTGCTTTCACTCAAATAGTGTGAAACAAACTCAGCGTTTTAAATCACATCTATTTTACACACTCTGCGTGACACTTGATACTGTGATTCCTTAAGAACTGTGTCCACAATGATTGAGACACAAGTGAAACACCTGATTCACTGGTTTTGACCATATGTTGGTTGACTTATAGCACATGTGCAGTTTGACATTTCAGCAAACGACAGAACACACGCAGGCGGGAGAAGCTTGATGATGTCATCACTACAGAGCAGAAGGTTGCAAGCAAATTTTGACGCTTTATAGAAGTTATAAATTGCCAAGTGCTTCAGATAAGAGAAATAACAAATCAGTCGTTAAATTATATGATGTATGTTATTATATCGTTAAGAAACAACACGCTTACATGACAGCCGTACGTTAAACAACACGCTTACATGACAGCCGTACGTCAATATATGAAAAACAAAACGTGCCAATATAATTTTGCACATTTACAGGTTAACATCACAACCTTATGTCATTATAACAACAACAAAAAACAAAAAAAAAACGTGTTAACAGAAGCTTGCACCTTTACAGGATAACATGGCAGTCTTATGTCATTATAAAAACAACTTTTTTTTTACTTTTTTTTTCACTCACTTTGAAGTCATGTACACCTTAACTGTTTATTGCTTTCAAAAACGAAACTTCATAAGGTAAATTACCTACCTTCAGTACATTCACAGTGTGAATCCAAGTACGTAAGAACGGGTGCTGTAGCCACCGACGCCCCCAGGAGCCGGCATCGAATCAGGCCTTCCCTTCGTCGGGCCCGAACCACTCGGACTTTTGGATACTGGGTGATATAGTCTTCCAGCTGGCGTGATAAATGAGCTATTGGAGAAAATTAAATCTTATCCCAAGTTACAAAGAACGCATCTTTCGCGCAGAATCCACTCAGATAATCTAATTGCTGGTTACAAAAAAGGTAAACTAAAATAAAATGTAAACAGCTGTGGATCATGGGCCTTATGTGTGAGAGGGGGATATTTTAGGCTGAGATCTAGAGCTAACTGAAATCTCGCAAGTCTTTCACATTTAGGGAGTTAAAAATACTACCTCTCTTTGCATGATATTGCATACTTTTCAAACAACAAATGAAACTTGAAATAATGATGAAAAAGTAGAATATACACAATCACGGGTAAGCAGGGACGTTTAGCATATTTTAAAAGTATTTCTAGAACAACAGTAAGCCAATGCATTATTCCAAAACTATTAAATTTTATTTCATATTTAGAACATACATAAGCATGTATGCGCGCCTTTGTAGGAAGTGATCCTTTTCGCAATGATAGCCTAAACAATACTAACAAAAGCAATTCTACACAGTGAAACTTAGCATGAAGAATTTCCCTACGGAGATAATCAGCAGTAACAACACTAGAAAGTCTTCTGCGACATTTGAAGGAATAGTCCCTTGTGTATTCTCTGACTTTCTGGTGATCTGTAATCTCATCAGCAGTGATAGGTATAGTATCAATTTCGCTCTAATCACTCTTACAACTGTATTTTCAAATAATTATCAATGTTCACACCTTTTACACTCGTGCTCCAATATTGTCTGCCAACAAATCAGGGCGCTAAATGAAAATTAGGAATTACGGCACGTGGAAAACGAAATGTAGAGTAACAATAAAAATATTGATTTCAGCACACGGATAAACGAAACTAACTAAAATCATGCAAAAATAAAAAAATACATAAATGAGAGGATTACGTGTGAATTCTGGGAATCGGGAGATAGGTCATATTGATCGGGGGATGGGTGGAAATGTAACTTTATCCTTTGATCAAAATATGCAGTTAGTTTTGAGTTTATATCAAAGTTTGAAGATACACTTTTAAGTCCACCACTGGAATCCTTTATGTCAAGACAGGTTAACCCATCATTATTATGTAACAGACGAAAATATAATTGTTGTCTTACACAATTCCACAAGTTAGTAATGTCACCGGTGTCCCATCATCCCCAAAGTGTTCTGGTAGTTTATGACTTAACAGGGTTTAATAGTTCTTTCTTTCATAAGACCTTCTTTTCCTGTAGTATTTGCTACATACCATCCAGTGCATTCAGCCATAACGCTAATATTGCTCATCGAATAATTTACATAGAATTTTGAAATATTTCAGAATACTGTTGCGTCTCTGGTCGTTTGGATTTCTGTAGGCAAATCATGTTACTAAGTATGGTGTTTCTATAAACGGATAGTTTAATAAGATGATGAGCTCACCGTAGGGAGTCTCAACAACTGATTATGTCATCAATGTTTAAATTTAATTATGTGTTCTGAAAGTGTTACAAGTAAAACCATTATTTTAACAAGACAACTATTCTAGCATAGTGTATTACGTATGTCAGTCTTTATCATACATGCTATCTTAATTTGTCCTTTATTTCAACAAGACAACTGTGACAATATAGATAACTTGTTACTTGTATTAGATACTTTTACAATTCTGTCCTGAAAGGATTTTATCATACCTAATGTTTCGTTTTTATAAATATTTAACGAGACAGTTACATAATTATTCTGCAGCCAATTGTGTTTTTTTTATGATTTAGGAGACATTTAATGATATGATAACATAATTATTTAAATCTTTAAACGTTAATCTAACATTCAAGCTTGCTATTTTACCTTATAAGTATATATAACGCAGGTTTTACTAGTTATAATGTTTGCCTTAAAACATATTCATCCTCTGTTCATATAAGCTCTGTTTTCAATAAGGTTTATAAAACTTTGTGGTGTTAAAGTACAAATTATAAACGAACGTTTTTTATTCATAGATCAAATCGTCTTCAACGATTATCTTACTCAGATTTCTAACGTTAACGCTAATACTGTCTAAGAGGTCCAACTCAAATGGCGTTAAAAAACTTTGATTTAAAAAAAAATACAAGGGGCACGGTTGTACGTCTTTAGTAATTTAATTATTACATTTTAAAATAAGAAAAGTAATTTTGGACCACTTCATATTTTGTTCGTAAGATCTTCAAAGGTAGTATGTATGCACATTATTTGCGACAAACCTTGGATAAAGTCCTTTTTCTCTGACTTGAAGTTTCGTTATTAAATAACTCAATATGTGTGATACTTGTCAAGTCTGTGATTTTACTTACACATATTAGGCTATGGTGAAACACGTGAGTTTTAAAACAATAGGTGAGAAGTAATGTGATGTCCAGCATAACGAGAGTAGAATTTCTCAAACGAAGAAACGTTCTATGATCATAATAGCTTGAATCACTTTGGGGCTAGGGGAAGAGGGACCCTTATATTGCGTTTACAGAGATTTGTTCTATTTGATTAGTGAAATGCTAGAACAAATATATACCACAGATATTATTACATTAGGCTGTAGGTCAGTATTCTATAAACTATGACCGTAGCAATGTTCCCTCTGGTACAACTTCGTGGATGTCTTCGCCCTCTGGTGCCTATTACGTAACAGTTGTGTAACCCTCACATGTCGGTATAATTTGAATATTACGTAATAGTTATGTAATCCTTAAGCGGCATCCTTTGATATCCACTCGCTTGGCGACCATTCTATTGAGGCGGCATCCTTTGGGCGCTATGTTATTGGGAAAACTACTTGAGGTACTTAAAAATAGTATTCTGTTGAAAATAACTTCAAACCTTACATAACAGTTTATTTGATGCCAATTCTATTAATGAAATAATGAACTAGATTTGCTCAAATCAGTTGTCCCCTTTCCACTTCACAAAACTGTTTCTAAGATCAAAACTAGGTGGCTTTAGGTCTAATTTTTAGTTTGAAATTGTTAGGTTTCTATTAGTGAAAGATTAGTCTCCAGCTAGCAAAAATAGCGGTATTTAAAATATTTCACACTAATAACCTGCTTTTGATAAGAATGCACGTTTTCTAAAAAAAAAGTTTTTGAGAAGAGATAACAGAGTGGGTTACATTGAAACCTTACAAAATATAAATAAAACTAATTAACCCCAAGCGCTGTTTCGAAAGCGGAACGAACCACGTTTGAAGTTCCAAACTTGAAGGGAAGCACCATATTGAGAAGCGAGATAACAGATGTACTGCTGTACACAAAGGCCTTTTTCCGATACTATATTTCAAGCTTTTCTATTAACATTTCTGTCAAAAGACAATCTGGCATTATCAAAATGGTGTTATTTGATGTAAGACGTCGTTACCCAATTCACAACTGAGCAGATACAGAAAAATGGGGTGAGGAGAGAGGGAATTTAGGAAGTCAACATCTGTTACATAAGTTACAAAAGAAGCTGCCACACGTCAAGTTGATATATTTATTATTCATTGTGATTCCAGTTGTCGAACTATTATTTCTATTTGGTTCTAAATTTACTAACTTTTTTTTTGTTACAACAGACAGAGAAACGACTTCTATTTACTGACTGAAGCGCTTAAGACATGGAGAAAACGTCTCCAAATGAAACGCCCTGTCAAACTGAAGACAAGTGCGGAACAATGTAATAAAGTAAACAGAAGGCATGTTTTCAACTGACGCCATATTTGTTATCAATAGTTCTTAGACATTTTATTATTTTGTTTCGGGTACTATTTTAGAACGCCTTTGTTTGTTTTGAATTTCGCGCATAGCTACACGATGGCTATCTGCGCTAGCCATCCCTAATTTAGCAGTGTACGACTAGAGGGAAGGCAGCTAGTCATCACCACCCACCGCCAACTCTTGGGCTACTCTTTTACTAACGAATAGTGGGATTGACCGTCCCATTATAACGCTCCCATGGCTGAAAGGGCGAGCATGTTTGGTGTGACGGGGATTCGAACCCGCGACCTGCAAATTGTGAGTTGAGCGCCCTAACAACCTGGCCATGCCGGGCTTAGAACGCTATTGAAAATAATTAATATAAGATAATGGATGAGTAAATGAGCAGCCATTCAACGATCTCAACGATAAAAGGGATCAAATCCTCGACTTCCCGCATACCAAGCGTGTGTTGTGCCATATGAGCCAAAGCGTAATAATTTTTAGCAGCGGCATAACGGCTCCGAGTTTTTTGTTTTTTCAAGTACAAATATTTAGCTCATAGCTCCGTCATTTCTTGGTCGATTTGGGATATAATTAAAATTTTGGACCTAGGAGGTCAAACCCTTTAGATTGATGTATTTGACCACGCTGCCTAAAAAAAAATTCAACTTGAGGGTAGGCTAGTAGAGATCCTGATGAGTAATAAAATTGAATCGGGTATACGCGTACTCCACGCTTGGTATTGCTGGGCGCACAAAAATATAGCTAGTAAAAATGAAAAAATATCTCATAGGTTAATTGATTATAATCCTGCCTAATAAGTGTTTCAAGTGCCGCGTTTACATCAATATTATTGTTTGAATGCTTCTGCGACGAAGGAATGAAGATTTACATTGATGTCATATGTATGCGTAAGTGTTTTAAATAGATAATACCAGAGCAATTTCGAAACCCTAGTATTTTCTTATTACGACAATTCTGGTTCCAGTTTTTGTAAATGAAAAGGGTGCGATTTAAACAAGAAATATCTAATTAACTACTTTATTTTTCAGAGGTACTCAATTATCGAACATACATAGTTTTTTTAAACAGTCATTGGTTGGACAAAAGATTTATTTGAGTACAGTGTTTTGTCTCTGAAAGTGAAACATAATCACCTACACCGTTCAATACCTAATCACGTCTCACTTTTACAGACGAAACGTAGTACCCAAATAAATGTAACATACCACAAAGAGCTGTTTTAAAACACGTTATACAAGAACTATTTAACTTTTAATACAATAATCATTTCTTTCTGTTCCACAGTAAAAAATTTAGCTTTCCCAAGCCT